GTCTCTATGCATTTGCCTCTTCTGTATGTTTCACATAAGTAGAACCATACTGTACGTGGTCTGTTGTAACAGGCATGTTTCACTTGACACAACATTTTAAGGTTAATCTATGTAGCATACGTAAGTTTTTATTCCTTTTTCTTGACATAAAATATGTCATTGCATGAACATACCACATTTTGTTCACCGATTCAGTTGATGGACATTTAGGTCGTCTCAACTTTTTGGGTATTATCAATAATGCTGTTTTGGACAAACGTGCAAGTTTTTGTGCGGACATGTGTTTTCAATTTTCTTGAGTTATACAAACTTGGAGTAGAACTGCTGGGTCATAAAACAACCAAATGTTATTTTTAAAACATGACTGATACAAAAAGACTTTTAAAAGTTTGTGGAGAAATGAAATTAAAAGAAACATATTTTATTTCAACCTAAGCTCTATCAAGTTCAATTCTGTAATCAGTGATAGCAGCCATTCAGTTCATCCTAAAGAAGTGAGGGTCCTGAGAAGTTTTTTTTGATGGAGTCTCACTCTGTTGCCCAGGCTAGAGTGCAGTGGTGCAATTTTAGCTCACTGCAACCTCTGCCTCCCGGGTTCAAGCAATTCTCCTGCCTCAGCCTCCTGAGTAGCTGGGATTACAGGCGCATACCACCACACCTGGCTGATTTTGGTATTTTTAGTAGAGACAAGGTTGCATCATATTGAGTCAGGCTGGTCTTCAACTCCTGACCTTGTGATCTCCCTGCCTCAGCCTCCCTAAGTGCTGGGATTAGAAGTGTGAGCCACTGCGCCCAGCCCTGGGTCCTGAGAATTTTACCATGGCAGTGCAGTAGTTTTTACACTATTAACTAAAGAAAAATGGGTGTCCTTTACAGATTCTTCAAGATCACGAAACAAAAAGAAGTAAGAGGAGCTAAACCAGGACTGTAAGGTGTAGGGCTAATGATTCTCTGTCAAAACTCTCAAAAAATTGCCCTTGTTTGATGAGAATAATGAGCAAGAACGTTGTCATGGTTTAGTCCTGGGTGTTTTTCTGCTAAAATCTTTGGCTAGCTTTCTCAAAATACTCTCAAAATAAGCAGATGTTATTGTTCTTTCGCCCTCAAGAAAATCAACAGGCATATTGCCTTGAGCATCCCAAAAAACTCTTGCCACGACCTTTGCTCTTGACTGGACCTCTTTTGTTTTGACTGGATCACTTGTACCTGTTGGTAACCATTGTTCTGATTGTGTTTTGTCTTCGGGATTGTACTGGGAAAGCCATGTTTCATCTCCTATTACAATTTGCTGTAGAAATGCTTTAGAAGCTTGATGCCACTTATTTAAAATTTCCACCAAAAGTTCTGCTCTTGCCTGCGGCTGATCTGGGTGCAACATTTTTGGCACCCATTGAGTGGAAAGTTGCTCAACTTTAATTTTTCAGTCAGAATTGTGCAAGATGAACCCAATTGAGACGTCTGTGGTACTGGCTACTGCTTCTGCTGTTAACTGTCAGTCCTCTTCAATTAGGGCAGGAGCAAGATGAATTTTTTCCTAGTGAAAGGATGTGGATGGTCTGTTGCTGTAGGTTTCATCTTCAACAGTGTCTCGTCTCTTCTTCTTAAAACCCATTTGTAAACTGCTCATTTCTTTGTGGCGTTGTCTCCACAAACTTTTCATGAAGCATCACTTCACCATTTTTGCATCCAAGCTTCGCCATATGTTTGATGTTTGTTCTCGCTTCAATTTTAACCGAATTCATATTGCTTTGACAGGGGCTCTTTTCAAACTTATTTTATTATTTATTTATTTATTTACAGATGGAGTATTGCTGTCACTAGGCTGGATTACAGTGACGCGATCTTGGCTCATTGCAACCTCTGGCTCCTGGGTTGAACCCTGCCTCAGCCTCCTGAGTAGCTGGGACTACAGGCATGTATCACCACACCTGGCTAATTTTTTTGTATTTTAGTAGAGAAGCGGTTTCACCATGTTGGCCGGGATGGTCTGGATCTCCTAACCTTGTGATCCACCCACCTTGGCCTCCCAAAGTGCTGAGATTACAGGGACAAGCCACTGTGCCCAGCCTATTTTTTACTTATTTATTTTTCTGAGACAGGGTCTCGCTCTGTCACCCAGGCTCGGTAGTATGATCATAGCTCACTGCAGCCTTGGAACTCTTTGGCTCAAGAGCTTCTCCTGACTCAGACTCTCAAGCAGCTAGGACTACAGGTGAATGCTACCATGCCCAGCTCATTTTTAAGCTTTTTGTAGAGACAGGGTGGTCTCTGTATGTTGCCCAGGTTGGTCTTGAACTCCTAAACTCAAGGCATCTTCCTGTCTTGACTTTCCAAAGTCCTGGTATTACAGGTATGAGCCATTGTGCCAGGCCTCAAACTGATGTCTAACCCTTCTTAGTGCCTCAAACCAGATACTGCTCAGTCATGTTATAACAGGTTAGTACAGGTTTATTTTGTTGCAAAAAAGCTTCGAAATCCATGCATAGTTTTTTCATAACATGCATCTTCCATGAACTTTTCAAGACCCCTTGTACTGAACATCCCTCTCTGACCGACAATTAGTTCTTAAGTTTTCCTTTCAATGGAGGCTGAAAACAGACACAGAAGCCTCTAGGGCCCCATGACAACTCACGCTATGTTGGAGGAGATGACTGCCTTGCAGCAGAAAAGTCAGACATGAATAACGTCCTAAGAATGTATTGTGTGCTATTCGTTAGGCAGCCTTTTCACTCCTGTGTCTGTTTCTCTAACAACAATCACAATGAAAGCGAAAGTTTATTAAGCTTTGACAGGGGCTCTTTTCAAACTGATGTTTTTATTTATTAATTATTATTATTATTATTATTATTTGAGATACAGTCTTGCTTTATCACCAGGCTGGAGTGCAGTGGTGTGATCTTGGCTCACTGCAACCTCTGCCTCCTGGGTTCAAGCAATTCCCCTGCCTCAGCCTCCCAAGTAGCTGGGACTACAGGTGCATACATTACACTTAGCTAAGGGGAGCAGCTCCAGGCACCAGCATGGGTGCCAGCTCTCTGCAAAGCTGTGGCTGGACCAAGTGTATTGCAAGCAGCTTCCACTGCTGGCACTGGCGAAGGTGGTGATGTCTGGAAGCTTGGAGATACCAGGAAACAGAGCCCCAAACAGGGCGGTATAGCCCTGGCTCAGGGAGTTCCTAGATCTGGGCTCCACGAAGAGCTTCTCTCTTTCTCTCCTTCATGTTGCCTACAACATGGTGAGTGGGGGCATGTTTCAGCCCTGTTTGTGTTACAGCTCTTTCAGTCCTGCCATTCAGTGGGTCCCGAGTTCTTATCTCACATCCAGAAAGAATGAAGTATGTGGACAACTGGAGGGTAAGGTGAAGAGGTGGTTTACTGAGCGACAGCACAGCTCTCCAGAGACCTGAAGTGGATAGCTCCTTTCCGCAGGCAGGTTGTCCCGACATCTGCTCAGCTCTCAGCTGAGACCTACAGTGGGTAGCTCCTCTCCACAGGCAGGCCATCCCAACATCTGCCTGAGTCTGGCTGAGTCCAGGGATTTTATTTGCTTCACAGGAGAGGAAGTGCATGCTGATTGGTCTATGGGCAGCTATGGGCAGGCCTGGAAAATGCACCATAAGTTCTCACTCTGGTCCATGGAACTGGCAGCCCGGCCCTCAGGCTTCAGGCTGTCCCAGGGCTGAAGGTGGGCTGCATTGCAGACCTGCCTCTTTCCACCCAAGAGCCTGTCTGCCTCCAGCTGCCATCGACCTGCCATCCTCAATGCCCAGGCTGTTTGTGGCAAAAGGTGCCCATAGGCCCACACTGAGCCACCCTTAGCACCCCCTTGGCCTCCCTCCCGTGCTTGTTGGCGCTCAAAGTCTGAAGGGGACTGAGGGGCACCAGGGGGCTGGCATATCAGCACTGTCCCAAGTGTCTGCGCACCCTGCTAGTTTGCAATACCACCCAGGCGTGGCCCCAAGTTTGCTCTGAAATTGGAACAGGTATTGGGAGTGGGGAGAGGTCAGGCAGTGGGAGCAGTCACTTTTTGACCCTGCAGGTGTACAGGGGGCTTCCTGGGCCCCTGAGAGTACAGGAACGCCTGGGTCAGCAGCTGCAACTGGGTAGCTGCCCTGGCTATGCCTCCCTCACTGCAGCCAGTATTGTTGCAGCAACCACTCCAGAAGGGTCACTGCTGCTTGCCTTCCATACCAAGTATAAAGAAAAATTATAAAAAATACGTTACTTAGAATACTTCCCTAAATGCAATCCAGACATTGTTGACTAAGCCAGGTTAGATGTAATTGCTTTGGTGAATAAGGCAACATCCTACTTTTCAAGTTGTATACAACTACTTTTATATATAATTCCTTTTTTTTTCAGGTGGAGTCTTGCTCCGTCATTCAGACTGGAGTGCAGTGGCACGATCTCAGCTTACTGCAACCTCTACCTCCCAGGTTCAAGCAATTCTGCCTCAGCCTCTTGAGTAGCTGGGATTATAGGCAACCACCACCACACTCAGCTGATTTTTCTATTTTTTAGTAGAGACGGTGTTTTGCCATCTTGGCCAGACTGATCTCAAACTCCTGATCTCAGGTGATCCACTTGCCTTGGCCTCCCATGCTGGGATTACAGACATCAGCCACCATGCCCAGCCACATTTTTATAGATAATTCTTTTTTTTTTTTTTTTTTTTTGAGACGGAGTTTCACTCTTGTTACCCAGGCCGGAGTGCAATGGCGCGATCTCGGCTCACCGCAACCTCCACCTCCTGGGTTCAAGCAATTCTCCTGTCTCAGCCTCCTGAGTAGCTGGGATTACAGGCACGTGCCACCATGCTCAGCTAATTTTTTGTATTTTTAGTAGAGATGGGGTTTCACCATGTTGACCAGGATGGTCTCGATCTCTTGACCTTGTGATCCACCTGCCTCGGCCTCCCAAAGTGCTGGGATTACAGGCTTGAGCCACCGCGCCCGGCCTATATATAATTCTTATATGACTTGCCAACAGTATAATACTCACTAAGAAAAGATAGCGTTCTTGTGCTGATGTGTTCCGAGCTGCTAGTTTGAGGATCTGCCCTTCTTTTATTAGTTCATTTGAAGGATTTACAATGTCTTCTTCTTCTCCCAACATTTCATAAATCTCTAAGAGTTTCTTTAGGTTCTCCTAGGAAATGAAGACAAAACAGCAAGATCACATACAAGCAGGTTTCAACTTAGTAGCTTTAATAATACTCTGAGCTTAACTAAAATCTATATAATTCAGAAGGGATTGAGAGTAAGCATATATTTTGATATAAACTGTATCAGTTATTAACAAGTTCAGAGAGTGATTCCGGGTAATATTAAACATTTTGTAAACATTCTTTTTGGTCCATCTATTTCGATTCACTTTGGTCCAAATCTACATAGATTTGGGCAGTATTACTGACAATTGTCTAATCAGAAGGTTCCTGTCTCCTCTGAAAACCACTTACCATTTTTCTTATTGCACTATTAGAATGGCTTGCTGCTGTAGATATAATTTCAAGTGATTCTACATGGGAAAAAAAGAAAAGTAAATAAATACGCTTTGTCCTTCCTGTGCTTCTGTATAGCTGAATAACTCACTAAAAAGTCTGAGATGAAAGACACAACAAAAATAGTGGCATTTTCCATTTATGAACTGGATACTTCCTAAAGTTCATTTCTAAGCAGATTACTTGAAACTTCATCTTTCCTTATAAAAAGTCACATATGAAGGTTAGGCTCACAGGTTTAATCGAGAATGAACCATCAAAATTAATAAGGAGAGGGAGAAACATCACTGCTTTTCCTTAGTTAATCTCTTGAGTGGTGACTCCAGCCCAACTTATTTTGTTTCCCTCAATCCTGGATCCTATATTGAGGGCACAGAACTGCCCAAATCAGAATAATTTTCTAAAATGTAAACAAAAACTCAGTTTCTTCTATGCTCAAAGGTTTTGAAATTTACAGTGTACACTAACTCCATTCTAGGTACTTTATTACAGTATCAATTCTTATACAGCCTTAAATCATTAAGTATTTTAGCTCCATTTGGCAGACAAATGAAATGGGGAAGTAATACAACTACCTTAAGGTCACAGAGCTATGCTATTGGAGGGCCATACTTAAACCCAGGTTTCTGACTCAAAAGTTCTAAAATATTTCAGCAGTACTAAGTATTTTACTAATTGTATGAGTAAATTAACTACTAAACACAGCCGACTTTCTTTGGGAAAATATATTCACAGTTCTAGCCCGGGTTGGGTGAAAGGGGTCAGTGTTGGAGGGTTTTGTTGCTGGGGCAGGTGGGAATGGGAACTTTTTGGTGTGGACATCGCAGGAGCTCCAGGGGCTGCTGGTGAAGAGGCCTCTTGCTGGACTGACCCCAGAGAACACCTCTCAATCCTAAATCATGTCCTGTTTTCGTCCTTTCTTTTCTGTTTTGTGAATACTGGCCTGCCTAATTCTGTTACCACAACAACCCTGAGACTTTTCAACTACATTTTTTGTCTTCCATGCACTGCTGGACAGAATGCACTTTTGTTGCTTTCATTCCTACTTTCAGGTCACCAAAGGCCCTTCTTAGGTGATTTCCTTAGAATTTTAGTGAAAGTAGCAATGGAAAAACAAGCAAACAAAAAAAGTAATAAAATGCCATACCATGTCACCAACTACCTCATTTATGATATGGGCATCTAAGGGGATACCAAAGTCTGAGCATAGAAGAAACTGAATTTTAATTTGCATTTTAAAGAACTATTCTGATATGGGCAATGCTGTGCACTTGATATAAGATCCAGGATCCAGGAAGACAAAATAAGACAGGATAAAGCCACGGCTCTAGAGATGAGTTTGAGGAAGAGCAGTGCTGTTTCCACCTCCACCCCCACCACTAGATCTGCCACTCAAATCAAGCAGTCAGGCAAGGTAGGTAGAAAATGGAGATAGGGCAGACTTCCTAGGAAGTAGTTGGTTTGAGATGGGAAGTCAAGTTCATTCTACAGTATGGAAAGGGCAAGTGGAGAAGAGAAGTTTCTGTGGTCAGAGTCACTCAAATGGTGGGAGAAACATATCTGAAACAGCCTGTGTTCAAGAAAAGGCTAATGATCAGGGCCAGGCACGGTAGCTCATGCCTGTAATCCCAGTACTTTGGGAAGCTGAGGTGGGTGGATCATCTGAGGTCAGGAGTTCAAGACAAGCCTAGCAGACATGGTGAAAACACGTTTCTACTAAAATTACAAAAATCAGCTGAATAGCTTGAAATCAGAAGGTGGAGGCTGCAGTGAGCCAAGATCGCACCACTATACTCCAGCTTGGGCAACAGAGTTAAGACTCTTTCTCAAAAAAATAATAATAATTAAAAAAACGAAAAGGTTAGCTGGGCACGGTGGCTCACGCCAGTAATCCCAGCACTTTGGGAGGCCGAGGTTGGCAGATCATGAGGTCAGGAGATTGAGACTGTCCTGGCTAGCCCAGTGAAACTTCATCTTTACCAAAAATACAAAAAATTAGCCAGGCATGGTGGCAGGTGCCTATAATGCCAGCTATTCGGGAGGCTGAGGAAGGAGAATCACTTGAACCAGGGAGAGCCAGGGAGGTGGAGGTTGCAGTGAGTAGAGATCATGCCACTGCACTCCAGCCTGGACAACAGAGCGAGACTTAGTCTCAAAGTAAAAACAAAAAAGAAAAGGCTAACAATCCAAGACAAAAAATAATGTTTTATGTACTTCACCTCTCATCAAGATTCACTTAGGACAGAAAACAAGAAATTATAAGGGAAAGTAGCAATGTTTTAAAGTTATACCCAAGTACCATTACTGCTTGTTGAATATCAAGCCATTCTTATTTCTTAAATTTTCATTCATGCCTTTATAGCTGATTGATTTGTAAAAGTGCATGAAAAAGCTAAAGTATTATTGAAGCTCATAAGCCTTAAAAACAAACAAACAAACAAAAAACACCCTTTCAGCCGGGCACAGTGGCTCACGCCTGTAATCCCAGCACTTTGGGAGGCTGGGGCTGGTGGATTGTGAGGTCAAGAGATCGAGACCAAGCTGGCCAACATGGTGAAGCCCCATCTCCACTAAAAATACAAAAATTAGCTGGGCATGGTGGCGTGCGCCTGTAATCCTAGCTATGCAGGAGGCTGAGGCAGGAGAATTCCTTAAATCCGGGAGGCGGAGGTTGCAGTGAGCAGAGATCGTGCCATTGCACTCCAGCCTGGTGACAGAGCAAGATTCTGTCAAAAACAAAAACAAAACCCTTTCATTATAATCTAATGAAAAATAAGATAATCTAACAGAAGTGAAATAAAGTTTTCTTGGAGAAAATGTTATTGGACAATAAAAAGCACCATTTCCTGTTATGGTAGGAATGTTAGGGCAGGTAGAGCCAACTCTGCTTAGTTATTTTTACATAGTGAATGTCACCTTAGCTTTCTTGGCATGCACCAACCTATCTCATTAAACAGCAGCACTTGTAAATCTGAATGGTTGTATTCTTCCTCTGAGAAGGAAATTGTGTATTGCTATTCTAGATGTCTTTAAGACTGTAATATTATATTTCAGAGCCAGTGACTAACATGAACCCGCAAAAGAAATGTGATTTGGATTGCTCTAAACTTGTCATTTTGGCTCAAAAGTGACTTGCCTAACTGAGGTGTTGATAACAATTTCCAGTGAAATTATCTTCTAATAGCAACATTTGACTAAAGTAGCTGTGAGATATACTTCCCTTTAAAACCATAAGGCTGCTTGGCCACTTGATTATTCTGTAATAGGGAGAAAACAAAAATAGCATTTACTTTTAGCATCATTCCAGTCCAGGGAATCAGGAGGCAATTTCCTTAGATAGTCCTTAAGGAGCATCTCATACCGGGGAATCCGCTGAACAGGTTCTAGCATGTGATGCTGCAAAGTTAAGCTCCCACAGATTTTCTGTTTCTGTAATGAGAAAGGTTTTCCAAGAAACATTTAAAAATTAGGTTAGGTTATCAAGTCTAGAGACTTACTGTAAAACGGAACTATCGTCAAGGGCAATATTCTTCAACAAAGTGTGACTGTCCATCACCCGCATCAGACATATCTGGGCTCTGTTTAGAATGCAGATTTCTGGCTGGGAGCAGTGTCTCACAACTGTAATCCCAGCACTTTAGGAGGCTGAGGCAGGTGGATCGCTTGAGGTCAGGAGTTGGAGACCAACCTGGCCCACATGGCAAAACTCCACCTCTACTAAAAATACAAAAATTAGCCAGGCGTGGTAGCACGTGCCTATAGTCCCAGCTACACAGGAGGCTGAGGCAGGAGAATCACTTGAACCCAGGAGGCAGGAGTTTCAGTGAGCCGAGATTGTGCCATTTAGCCTGGGTGACAGAGTGAGACTCTGTCTCAAAAAAAAAAAAAAAAAAAAGCAGATTGCTGAACCCCACCTCAATCTATAACATCACAATCTTTGGGGAAGGAGATAGAGAATATGCATTTTTTTCTTTTTTTGAGATGCAGTCTCACTCTGTTGCCCAGACATACAGTGGTGTGATCTCACTGCAACCTCTGCTTCCTCAACCCAAGTGGTCCTCCCACCTCAGCTTTCAAAGTAGCCAGGACTATAGGTACATGTCAACATGCTCAGCTAGAGAATATGCATTTAAAAACACCCAATATTTCTATAACATTGAAGTTGAGGACTATCTGGTTTAAGAACAGGAAAAGTGGGGGCCAGGAACTGTGGCTCACACCTGTAATCTCAGCACTTTGGGAGGCTGAGACTGGTAGATCACAAGGTCAGGAGATTGAGACCATCCTGGCTAACAATGGGAAACCTCAACTCTACTAAAAATACAAAAATGAGCCAGGCATGGTAATATGCGCCTGTAATCCCAGCTACTTGGAAGGCTGAGGCAGGAGAATTGCTTGAACCTGGGAGGCAGAGGTTGCAGTGAGCCGAGATCATGTCATTGCACTCCAGCCTGGGTGACAGAGTGAGACTTCATCTCAAAAAAAAAAAAAAAAAAAAAAAGAAGAAGAAGAAGAAGAAGAAAGAAAGAAAGAGAGAGGAAAAAAAAAGCACACAGAAAGGGGGGAAAATGAAGCAGAATTTTAAGCAAGAAAATTGCAGATTGCTGACAACCACTTCAATTAGTCACTACAAGGGTTTGTGAAGTCACATTATTAAACCATTCTATAGAGATTTTTTAAAAGATGTGCCTATTTAACGAGGTCTGCTAAGAACAACTGTATTAAATGACTTTGGACTCAGCAGAAACTATTTCATAACAAGGCTATGATAAATATCATTTCCTTTGAACTTAAAAAAGACTCCATATAGAAGAACACGATCTGGGCATCTTTTATCTGTCAGAAAATTTTACTATTTCATTAGTTCAAAGCATTCTTTTTCATTAGAAACCAAATTTTGTGAAAATAGAGCTCCATTTCTCAGGGCAAAATTGAGTCTGTATCACTTGCTTTCAAGAAGCTGTTAACACAAGAGAGGAAAAAATAAGAAATGTTCTTGTTCCTGTTAAACAAAGAAGAAATCCCATTAAAATATATACTGAACTCACACCATGATCAGGGCACTGAAAGGCATCAAAGCTATATTAAGATATGGTGTTTGCATCTGAAGTAAACAAGTAACTAAAGGCTTCACAGAGAATGGAACATTTAACACAACCTCTGATGAGTGCAGGCTTTGGAGAGGAAGACAGACTAGGGAGCAAGCCCAGGAGGAGACACCTGAGAAGAGGACCACGGTAATGAAGCAAGAAATATGTTCAATGAAAGGAGCAGAGAGGTTTTCTTGGCAACTAAGATAAGTAGAAGGAAATGGAAGATGTAACATAAAGGCAATATGAGGTCATGATGTCAAGGTGAGTTTAGATTTTTTTCATCTAATATAGATTTTTGTGCATGACAGTTGTATCATTAGATCTGAGGTCTATTAGATTAACCCACTGCAGTGTGGCTTTGGGGAGACAGTCGGTAACTAGTTTGGAAGTTGTTATTATAGACCAGGAAGAAAGTAATAAGGGCCTGAAAGTGGCATAGAAACTGAGAGAATAAAAGCTTTCCTTCATTAGGTTTAAGATATTAATTCTATAAATTTAAATATCTCATTAGATTTTCCCCTAATCTATTATGTACATCAAGGAAAGTATTACTGATCCCAAATATTTTACATGAAGAAACTGTGGCTCTGATAATTTAGAAGCGTTTTCTAAGGTCAAGTGACTATAAGTGGCGGACTAGGATTCTAAACTAGGTTACTTGATTCCTAGTTTACGACTCTTTTCACAACCCATGTCATTTCGTCGTAATATGGAGAAGACAGACATTGCAGAGACAGAATTCAGAGTGTGGTAAGATAGTAACTACCACCATCACCATCATTTAGTGAGCAATTGCTATGCAACAAGCACTATGTTAAGTGCTTCAAATACATTATTTCACAGGCAAATGAACACATACAGAGAATGAAGAAATGTAACAAATCAAAGATAAAGCTAAGTTGTCAAGCTCTGGTGAATGATAGAATAATGGTGTCACCGGCCGGGCGCGGTGGCTCAAGCCTGTAATCCCAGCACTTTGGGAGGCCGAGGCGGGTGGATCACGAGGTCAAGGATCGAGACCCTCCTGGTCAACATGGTGAAACCCCGTCTCTACTAAAAATACAAAAAAAAAAAATTAGCTGGGCATGGTGGCACGTGCCTGTAATCCCAGCTACTCAGGAGGCTGAGGCAGGAGAATTGCCTGAACGCAGGAGGCGGAGGTTGCGGTGAGCCGAGATCGCGCCATTGCACTCCAGCCTGGGTAACAAGAGTGAAACTCCGTCTCAAAAAAATAAAAAAATAAAAAAATAAATAAATAAAAAGAATAATGGTGTCACCTAATAAATCCAATACATATCAGAATAATTATCTACTCTGTGCAAGGCCTAAAAAGTCAGATGGAAAAATGCTTGGGAGCTAAAAATAGGAAAAGAAAATGTTGACTCTGTTTGGATGACAAGATATTCACATGCTTGGCCATTTGTACCTGGAGTTTGGGAGTAGAGAACTAGACTAGCAACCCTAGAGGAAATCTGTCTGGCAAGATAGTTAGAGGCAGGCAGGAATAGGATATGAACGAAAAGTATGAAAAGAAAGAAGATCGTAGAAGGCAAACTCATTGTGCTCTGCCCACATTTCCGTATTAGGAAAAGAAGCTGGTAAAAATCAAAGGAGGAGCCCAGTATTCAGTGAGGTAGGCGAGTGTTTAATTACAAAAGAAAAGAATGTTAAAAAAAAAAAAGGAGTGGAGGGGATGAGGTAGGCCCTCTGGCTATAGCTGAATGAGGAGACGGACAAATCCTCCCTGTTAAAAGCAGTTTATAGGCTGGGTGCAGTGACTTAGGCCTGTAATATCAGCACTTTGGAAGGCCGAGGTGGGGGGATCATTTGAGGCCAGAAGTTTGAGATCGGCCTGGCCAACATGGAAAAACCCTGTCTCTACTAAAAGTACAAAAATTAGCTGGGTGTAGTGGCACACACCTGTAATCCCAGCTACTTGGGAAGCTGATGCCTGAGAATCGTTTGAACCCAGGAGGCAGAGGTTGCAGTGAGTCAAGATCATGCCACTGCACTCCAGCTTGGGTGACAGAGGGAGACTCTACCTTCAAAAAAATGAAAAATAAAAAATAAAAGCAGCTATAAAGCTAGATAAAATTGACAAAATTAATATAAGCGTCTTAGAAATTGATTAAAAGGTATGCAACAATCTGGAATGTGTTTACACTTTAAAAACTGTTGAACTTTGGGTAAGAATGATGAGAATCTGTGGCATTCTAGCCTGGGGCTGCTCCTGTCCCTCTCCCAGCTCAGTCATGACAAAGGGGCCCCCAGGGTGGCATGGGCTATGAGGACTGGTGAGTGGCTCTTCTGCTGAGGCTGAAAAGGGCTCATTCAGTTTGGAGTGGTGGGCAACACACGCACCCAACAACATCAGTAGAAGTGAAGATCCCTGAAGTGGGTGAGCGGTGAGAGCCAGTAACTCCACTAGCTAGATGTTGTGGTTGTGGATGCGAAAAATATAATAATTGAAAAGAAAAATTCACTATAGATTCAACAGCAGATCTGAGATGACAGAAGAATCAGGGAACTTGAAGAAAGACTAGTAGAAATGAAAGAATCTGAATAATAGAAGAAAGTTTGGGGGGATCATTTGAATCCAGGAATTCAAGGTTAGCCTAGGCAACATAGCAAGACACCATCTCTAAAACAAACAAAAGGAACCCACCAAAATTTGTGTAATGGAAGTCAAAAGATTAAAAAAAAGAGAGAGAAAGTGAAAAAGACAGAAAATATTTGAAGAAATAATGGCTGAAAACTTCTGAAAATGATTTTTTTAAAAAAGGTCAACCAACCCTAACTAGGACAAATACAAAAAGGTCCACGCCCAGATGCATCATATTTGAACTGGCGACAGCCAAAAACAGAGAAAATCTTGAAAGCATCAAGAAAAATGTGACTCATCACATGCATGGGAGTAACAATACAATCAATGGCTGGTTTCTTGTCTGAAACCACAGAGGATGGAAAGCAGGAGGATTACATATTCAAAGTCCTGGGGGAGAGCCCCATATCCTGGCTGAGTGCAGTGGCTCATGCCTGCAATCTCAGCACTCTGGAAGGCTGAGTCTAGGTGTTTAAGACCAGCCTGGGCAACACAGCAAGACCCTGTCTCTACAAAAAATCTAAAATTTAGCCAAGGGTGGTGGCGCATGCCTGCAGTCCCAGCTTACTTGAGAGGCTGAGGTGGAAGGAGTGCTTGAGCCCAGATGTTCAAGGCTGCAGTGAGCTGTGACTGGGCCACTGCACTCTAGCTTGGGTGACAAGAGCAAGAACTTGTCTCTAAAAAAATAATAAAAATTATAAAAACAAAATATAAAATAAAAAAGGAAAAACCCTTGCCGGGCGCGGTGGCTCAAGCTTGTAATCACAGCACTTTGGGAGGCTGAGGCGGGTGGATCACGAGGTCAAGAGATCGAGACCATCCTGGTCAACATGGTGAAACCCCGTCTCTACTAAAAATACAAAAAACTAGCTGGGCGTGGTGGCACGTGCCTGTAATCCCAGCTACTTAGGAGGCTGAGGCAGGAGAATTGCCTGAGCCCAGGAGGTGGAGGTTGTGGTGAGCCGAGATCGCGCCATTGCACTCCAGCCTGGGTAACAAGAGCGAAACTCCGTCTCAAAAAAAAGGAAAAACCCATATACCAGGAATTCAGAATCTAGCAAAACTGAACTTCATTCTTCATTCATCCAAAAGTCAAGAAAAAATAAGTATAGTCCCAGACAAACACTGACAGAATTCATTGCTAGTTGGCCTGCTTTATAAGAAACAACAATCACTTATGCTGAAAGAAAGTTACTCCAAAACGGGCAAATATAAAAGTTAATAAAAAATAGACTTATAAATACATTTTTTCTCATACCCTTCCTCACTGTGTTACAGACTCACAACATATAAAAACGTAATATACAGGACACGAATAGCACAGAGCATAGATGAGGGAACAGGGCTATACTGGAACAAAGTGTCTACATTTTACAAGAATTAAGGTGAGTATAATCTGAAGTACATTGTGAAAAATTAAGATGCATACTATAATCCTAAAAGCAACCACTATAAAATAACTCGAAAAATAGTTTGACAATTAGAGGAATCAAAATGGTACAATTAAAAAAATTCATCACACAAAAGAAGACAGTCAAGTAACAGCAGATTTCCCACACCAAGAATCTTAGATGACCTAAAATATGCCTTTTCAACATTTAAACTATATCAAAGAATATGATATTAATAAGACTAGAAAATCAAGTGGAAATTATTATAGTATTATTAAAGTGTATTATTTAGGTTTGGTGAAACAGAAGAAAATGAGGATACAGATACCAAGTGACAAAAGAAAAGAATGGTTAGTTTCCAAAATCTTGGGGTTTACAGCAATCATTCTTTATATTCGTTTACATTCCTTTCAACAACTCAACTTCTGAAAGAAGGCAAGAGAGGCACAGACCTGAAAGGAAACTCATTTTGTAAATTTATGTAGACCCTAATAAAAATCATCCTCTGCTGGCCTCAAACGCAAATGGAGACATTATTGCTTAGTATGCAGCATGCGACTGATATACATTTCAGCTTTGCAAAGATGATCTCCGCATAATTTGGCGTAGAATACATTTTGGCTAGGTATCTCGGACAGATCTCTAGATCTCAATTTTAGGTCTAGAAGACTATCATTTGTATGGAAATAGTAATTCATAGCTTTGCATGAAACAGTCCTATTACCTGAATTTCTTCAACCAATGATTTGAACTGGGGAATACGTTCTGTCATGTTCTTAACCAATTCCATTGCATTATCAAATCCTTTCACATATTCTCCATACATCTTAAGAAATGGTGCCAATTTCTGAAGGATATCTCCAATTCTAGGGGTAGTTTCCCTGTATCGAATATAGAAAAACAAGTCATTAAAACTTCTTTTTTTTTGAGACAGGGTCTCATTCTGTCATTCAGACTATAGTACAGTGGCATGATCACAGGTCACTGCAACCTCGACCTCCCAGGCTCAATCAATCCTCCAGCTTCAGCCCCCTTAGTAGCTGGGACTACAGCTGCACGCCACCATGCCTGGCTAGTTTTTTGTAATTTTTGTAGAGACGGGGTTTCACCATGTTACCCAGGCTGGTCTTGAACTCCTGGGCTCAAGTGATCTGCCTGCCTTGGCCTCCTAAAGTCCTGGGATTACAGGTATGAGCCACCATGCCTGGCACATTAAGATTTCTTACAGAATGAGCAAATTGACAGGACTAGAGAGGAAGTAATCACACCCTGTGCTTTATCTCATTCACCATACTGTGAGGCAGGTAAAGAACGACGCAGCACCTTTTTAAAGGGACTATGGGAATGACATAGCAAAGAGAGATGCTCTGGAATTCTTGAAGCTCCACATTACCCGATATTTTGTCTTCACTAATCAAATGACAGTTTGGAGAGCGGACATGAAGTTCTTTGAACCACAACGTCTATCAGTGGTCTTCAATGTAAACATTTAGCATAAATGTCTAGCTACAGTTGTGTGTGGCATTTCTATTTCAATTTAAAAGCTGAAAAACACAGCATCTTACATGACTGCCTTAAACATATCATTTTCTATCTACTCCTCTTACCATTCTTGCATTCGTTTCTCCAGCTCTGGCAAGAGGAATTTACTATGGAAGGCATTTATTGATGAAATATTAGAAAAGATTTTATTCACCATCTCTGCTGGAAATGAGCCTCGGTTTGCTTCTTCCAACAGTTTGCAATAAAATACCTGAATAAAAGAATAATGCGAGCATTACTTCACATTTAGTGGTTAACCACCCAGCACTGTGCTAGGCACATAGTGGGCTCATAGGAACTTTTTATTGAGCAAATGAAAAAGTTTACGGTTCAAGAAATCCATCATTGGAAATTTAGGAGTGAGTATATGCTTTGATTTAGATGACTCAGGAATAAGAATTAGGAAGCTTTGATTCTAATCTAGGCTATGCTCCCATCAAAAGGAATATTATGGCGAATAATTTACCTTTTCTGTGCCAGAAAATTTCCAACTCACAAATAGAATTAATCCTTTCTATCCATAAGCCAGAGTTAAGAAATGTGAAAACACTTTATGTACACACAGTAATTGTGGTATTTCTCACTTCTCTTTATGTTTTGAAAGACTTCTATGGCACTTATTACGTATTTCCCTTTATTGTAGTTGGTTTACATAAATCTCATCTTTCCTATTAAAACTGCATGCTCCTTGGGAAAGAATAATATCATGATTTAGTTCCCACAACAGAACAAGTGCATAATGTCTGGCCAGTGAATGGACAAAGGAATATACCAATTCTCAACGATTTACTTGCTTTTTAGTAAATAATAATGCACAGTAACTTAAAACATTGATATGTAGCGGGAAAAGTCTCTTTCTACACATAACACATACCTCAAAGACAAAAAAAAAAAAACACCAAAACCCACACGAACCTTTAGTCTTAGCTATACTTCACTAGGGCTACTATACCTCTTAATTGCCATTCTGTTACATGTAGGCAGAAGGAGGTCTATTCCTTCATAATGTCCAGATGGTTTTTAATTTTCTAAATTCACCTCTACTGCATTTTCTTGAGAGGCAAAAAGAACACAAAATTGTCCTCAGAGGCTCCAATAGTTAGGTTACTGTAGTAACTAGGACTCTAGAATTCTAAAAGTTCAGCAACAGGAGCTGCTAAGTTATTTAGCTTAAAAAAAAAAAAAAAACCAAACACCACACAACTTGATAAGAGAAAAGAAGTATCTCCACTATGGGAATATCTAAAGTTTCAGGTCTGTAATTCCCATAAGGAAGAAAGTTCTTTCAAAGGTACAAACTTGACGTGATTTGATTTTGGCTTATGGTCAAATTTCTTCAAAAATGATCTGATCCATAAACTCATTCCTTCAAAGAGCGTAAGACTTAAAATGGCTTCTCACAGCTCATCCTAGCAGGCAAGCGGTTCACTTCTGGAACCGATGACGAAGAGGTATCCACGAGATTGCCTGTTTCCATGCAATTACAGTTTCCAGTGGCACAAGTGGGACAATTCTTATAAGTAACACTCTACATGGCAGCTTTCCCCTCTACCAAGGAGTCTGTATGGGCAATCTACCATTTGTCCTATTCTTTATTGCTGAAACAGGATTAAGATGCCTTAGGGGCCAGGCACAGTGGCTCATGCCTGTAATCCCAGCACTTTGGGAGGCCGAGGCAGGTGGATCATGAGGTCAGGAGTTTGAGACCAGCCTGGCCAACATGGTGAAACTAAATGATCTGAGCTGGCGTAGTCATAGGGCCAGAAGGATTTTGAAAGTTCACTTGTTCAACCTTGCATGAAACACTTAATATAGTACCCGGCATAAAGTTGCCTAGCCGATATTTGTTTAATGTGTGAATCTACTTTATCACGTTTTGTATTTTCATCATGGAACCTTAAGTATCATTTCAAATATACACTTGGAAAATCTAAGAACATAAGAATAACTTTTGAAAACTAAGGCATCTTTTTTTTTTTTTTTGAGATGGAGTCTCGTCCTATTGCCCAGGCTGGAGTGCAGTAGTGCGATCTTAGCTCACTGCAACCTCTGCCTCCCAGTTTCAAGCGATTCTCCTGCCTCAGCCTCCCAAGTAGCTGGAATTATAGGCGTGCGCCACCACACCCAGCTAATTTTTTGTATCTTTAGTAGAGACAGGGTTTCACCATGCTGGCCAGGCTGGTTCCTAAGTGCTGGGATTCCAGATGTGAGCCACCATGCCCAGCCAGAATAATCAATATCTTATTTAGAATATAATGGTAACATGGTCCCCAGGATGACAATGAAAGGTCAAGAAACAGACTAGTGTTTAAGTTACAAGACACTGATAAACATATTTTGTGATTCATACAGAGAGAAACCTCTACTCTTCACAAATTAGAAAATGCTTATACCTAGTGAATTCACTGACAAAGCTGAAAGTGCTAGAGATTTACTTGAGCAAGAACCTTTCACTAGCCAAACACAGGCCCTTCCTTCATGCAGTTTCTAAAATACTGTAATTACTAGGTTAAAATGATGTACAATGCAAAAACATAAAATAATTCTGAGAAACAAAATCTTACCTGATCTAAGAGGTCTAGCCGGTTGACATAAGCTCTTTCGGTAAGCAAAAGTTCATTGGCTATTTTGTGAAGTTTTTGCTCATTAGTCTCCTAAAAATTGAACAGATATTCATACATTAGGAAAAAAACTTTGGACAATATTTCTAAAGTGAAAAATCACGTCTTCAAATGATTTGATCAAAACAGTTTTCTCAAGCTTCTCAGTAACCTAGTTCTTCCAGCCATCAAGAGACGTCAGGCAAGAAATGAACAAAAGGAGAAATTAGCGAGCAGCCAGATTTAAACTATAGTTTCTCCTTTGACCTCTACAGCAGTTACCACTATCGTTATCTACCCTTCTCCTGGAAATTTTTTTATCTTTTTCAGTTCCTAGCATTACCCTTTCTTCATTTTTCCATTTTTCTCAGGCTACACTTTGGAAATTCATGACTCAGACATCTTGTCTAATTATCAGCTTTATACACTAAATTTTTATTAAGAAAACATTTTATTAGGCCAGCTGCAGTGGCTCATGCCTATAATTCCAACACTTTGGGAGGAGGCTGAGGCTGTGTGAGACATGACTGTGCCACTGCACTCTAGCCTGGGCAACAGAGCAAAACCCTATCTCCAAAACAAACAAACAAACAAAAAAAAAAGACAAAGAAAAACTTCAATCAAATAATACAGAAAATAGTAAGGTGAACCCCTACAAGCTCATCAATAAGATTCCACAACTATCAACTCATTGTTAATCTTGTTTCATTTATGCTCCCCCTCACCTGTCTGCCCATATTATTTAGAATTAAATCCCACTTTATTTCTTCAGTATGTATTTATTTAACCCTTAAATATATTTATATAACCCTGCCAGTTTCATGATGACAGAAACTTTTTTTTCTTCTTAGCTGCCGTGCCTCCTGTGCTTACTACAATGCTTCAATAAAAACACTGGTACTCAATACAAAATTGCTCAACGAATGAATGAATGAGTAGCAATCACATACCTAACTATTCAACTATTGCTGGACATGTATGACTACTCTGACATGCTGACAACACAAGACCAAATTCATCTTTTCTAAAAGACCTCTACCCTACTACTAACTCCTAATTTTCTCTTCTTGGTAATGGTACAGTTAGCTGCCTTTGAAATCTTGAATTAGTGTAAACTTAGTTCTCTACAATGGGATCCTGACCGCTACCAAGTCCTATTTATGATACTATGTCTTCAGCATTTATCCTTTAAGCTCTCAACAGTGCCACCCTGTTTTGCTCATCTCTTCTCAAGCCCCCGCCAATCAACAGCTATCAAATAATCTGATTCCAATATTTTATGGTTCTAATTTACCTTGTATATTGTTGTGTGAGGAATCTTTCTAAAACTTTCCTTTGCTTCACATTTATAAAGCATTGTAAAGAATGAATTAATTATTTGAATACTAAAAAGAAACAGTATTTCCAGACAGTTAAGCCATTGTCTAATGAATGTTTTTATTTTTGTATTTTGTCAATTGTTTTGTGGAATTCTTTCTAATGTATATGCTAAAATTTTTGCTCTGAGAAAAATATGCAAGTGTATATCCTTCCATGTACTTCTCTAGGGCTATTTATCTTCAAGTGAAAAGAAAATTCTAAACTTAAAAAAAAACAACAACAATCTTGCACACATAATTCTACTTTCATAGAAAAGCCTTCAGTGGTCTTCTTCTCATTGACAGGATAAAATCCATACTATGTATATTTAGGGTTATTCAAACCTCTACTCACTTCCTCTAACTTCCTCCTCATTCTATCATCACAGGCCCATTTCTCCAAATACATCACTCAAACACGTTTGATTATTACCCAAATGTGCCTCTGGCCATCTCTAAACCTTTCTTCTTTCCATCCTCTCTGCCTGGCATATGCTCTTGCTATTGTAGCTCTCTAGGTGTCTAAGACACTTTTCGTTTTGACTGCTGAATTTCCATTCTTGTCCATAGAGCCTTCTTCAACTATTTAAAGCCCTTGTGCTTCATCCTACTGGAAGGTATTTTATCTTTCAAACGTAAATATTTGTAGTGAAAACTTTCTATCTAGTACTTCGCTGAAATACTCTTTCTTTCCTTTTTTTTTTTTTTTTGAGACGGAGTTTCGCTCTTGTTACCCAGGCTGGAGTGCAATGGCGCGATCTCGGCTCACCGCAACCTCCGCCTCCTGGGTTCAAGCAATTCTCCTGCCTCAACCTCCTAAGTAGCTGGGATTACAGGCACGCGCCACAACGCCCAGCTAGTTTTTTGTATTTTTAGTAGAGACGGGGTTTCACTATGTTGACCAGGATGGTCTCGATCTCTCGACCTTGTGATCCACCCGCCTCGGCCTCCCAAAGTGCTGGGATTACAGGCTTGAGCCACCGCGCCCGGCTGAAATACTCTTTCTCTGTAGGAGATTATAAAGTATCGTCAAAGTTTAGGCAAAACTCTAGAAGCAAAGTAGACCAAAGCATATTTTAAGCCAGGGTCTAACTTTGGTATAAACACTGTATTTTAAACTGTGTATAAATGCTATTAAATCCTATGACAACTTCACTGTGTTCATCACATGATATCTACTTCATGCTTTAAACTTTACACACAAGATTCATTCTAACATGTAAAGTTAATGTGTTGTTTCTTAGGGTGGCATTGAAATGAGGTATTTTTATGTGAAGTCCTCAGGTAAAGCAATATAACAGTGTTTAAATAATTAGTCATCTCAGAAATACAGAAATAAGATGTAGTCACCTAATTCCACAATTAGGCAAAGTTTTGGCTTAACTTAATACAATTCAGGATAATGTTCTAGCATTGCTGGTTGCTGGCTTGGCATATTTCCCACCCCTCATTTCTTATTAGTATCCAGATTGAGTTAGTGTATATATTACTACTATACAGCCAATTCCTCTGGGGAAACAGACTTTATTTCCAGATCAAAAGGTGGGGCCCTGAATAATGTAAGAAACCAAGTACATGGAGACTGGTTCCGGGTACATAGTGATTGGTTCCGGAGACAATGAGATATGAGGAAATACACATTGAAGGCTTTGGCAATAGGAAGCTTCCTTCCCTTAAGGCAGAGCCAATGGGAGACATCTCTTTTTGGGGCTCCCAGAGAATGACAGTATATGTAGGCTTAAGTGTTATGAGCAGCCAGTCCACAACCACAGGAATGAAGACAATAAAACTTCCTTCTTGTTTCCAGGCTAAGTGTTACACGTGACCAGAAGCATCCAGAATGGTATATGATACATATGCAGGAAACTCCATGAAATTTAAAAACCTAAGTAATTTTTAAGCAATTACTACTTATAAGGAGAAAGAGATAAAACTTAAATACCTTGTGGGATAAAAACATGACTTTCCAACTGTAATAAGTAAACATAAATGCATAGTAAATACGTAAGAAACCTATTAACATTTAAGAGGAAGATACAGGAATATGTTGTCCTTCATATTTGAGAGAAATACTCCCCTGCATCAATGTCGTAAGCTGTTTGCTTTATTTTGCTTTTCTAAGCCAGAATGATTGAGGCATAATTCATAAACAGTAAAATTCACCCTTTTTGGTGTATAGTTCCAGGAGTTTTGACAAATGAACGTCAAAATGTAACTCAGAGGTCCCCAATCTTTTTGGTACCAGGGACTGGTTTAATGGAAGACAATTTTTCCATTGACTGGGTTGGGGCGGGGGGAGGGGAATGGTTTTAGGATGATTTGAGCACATTACATTTTTTGTGTACTTTATTTCTATTATTATTACATTGTAATATATAAGGAAGTAATTATACAACTTACTGTAATGCAGAATCAGCGGGAAACCTGAGCTTGTTTTCATGCAACTAGACAGTCCTATCTGGGGTTCATGGGCGGCAGTGACAGATCATCAGGCATTAGATTCTCATAAGGAGCATGCAACCTAGATCTCTCGCATGCACAGTTCACAATAGGGTTCAAGTTCCTAGGAGAATCTAATGCTGCTGCTGATCTGACAGGAGGTAGAGCTCAGATGGTAATGTGAGTGATGGGGAGCGCCTGTAAATACAGATGAAGCTTCACTTGCTTGCTCGTCTGCCCCACTGCTCACCTCCTGCTGTGCGGCCCCATCCAAAGCAGGCTACAGATCAGCCAGTACCAGTCTGTGGCCGATGGGCTGGGGACCCCTGACACAACCACTACCACAGTCAAGATATGGAATAATTCCATCATGCCGCCACTATTCCTGTGCCCCTTTGTAGTCCACTCCCTCTCTGCTCCTAGCACCAGATCCTGGTACCTACTGATGTTTCCTTTTCTATAATGTCATATAAATACATGTGCTTTTTGAGACTTGCTTCTGTCATTCAGCAAAATTCATTTGAAATACATGCATATTGTTATTAGTGGCAGCAGTTTATTCTTCTCAAGCCCTTGGTTTTATTCTGATAGTGGTGACGGTGATTCTTTTGACTTACTCATACCCTATGTTCTGATTCGAATTCTGACAATATCTTTAAAGAGAGCAACTTGGCAGAACTTGTGCCATGATAAAATAATACATCTTTCATGAATCAGAGAATATATTAACTAGCAGACCTTACTGTATAATACTGCTATGCAATGAAGTCACCCCTGAGGTCTTCCACAGTCCTAAAGAATCTTAAATAGGAAGATTATCAGAAACAATCTTTGCTGACTGCAAGGCATGCTTTAGCTGAACTTGGCAATTATGGATATCCTGGTCAGATTTTGCAAAATCCAAGAGGGATGCCAGCAGTTATTAGCAAAAGCTATGCTCTCTTCACACAGATGGTCTTCTACATGTTAGGTCCCTAACCCTGACAAAGCCAACACAAAGATAAGTAAAAAGTAAGCTTGCAGACAACATATGGTTTAATATCACCCACTTACATACAGGATTTGCAGAAAAATTACTAGGGATTTCAAGATGGAGATGAGGAAATCTTGGACCAATGGTGCCTTGCTTTAGGTCAATCAAAACAGCAATAATAATATCACCCTAATAATAAAAGCTAACGCACACTAACTGTTGTGTGCCAGACACCATTACAATTATTTTACATAAACTGATGAATCCTTACAACGATAAGTACC